TTGGCCATCTGTGTGTCTTCTTTGGAAAAATATGCAGGTCTTCTGTCCATTTTTAATTAGTTTATTTTGCTACTGAGCTGTGTGAGTTCTTTATATCTTTTTGAAATTAATCAAATTGCATATCACATATATGATTTACAAATATTTTCTTACATTTAGCAGGTTGCCTCATTTTGTTGCTGGTTTCCATCACTGTGCAGAAGCTTGTTAGTTTGACATACCCACACTTGTTTATTTTTGCTTATTGCGTTAGCTTTTGATGTCATATCTAAAAAATCATCACTAAAATTTCTGTCAAGGAGATTACCGCCAATGTTTTTTTTTTAGGAGTTTTATGATTTCAGGTTTGATATTCAAGACTTTAATCCTTTTTGAGTTAGTATTTATGAACGGTGTAAGATAGTGGTCCAATTGTATTTCTTTTGCATGTGGTTGTCCAGATTTCCCACCACCATTTATTGAAGAGACCATCCTTTCCCCACCATATATTCTTGGCTCACTTGTCATAAATTAATTGACCATATATCCATGAGTTTATTTGTTTTTATATTGTGTTCCATAATGCATCTGCTTTTTTCTGCCAATACTGTACTATTTTGGTTACTATTGCCTTGTAATATAGTTTGAAATTATGGAGCATGATGCCTCCAGTTTTGTTCTTTCTCAAGTTTCCTTTGACAATTCAGGAGTTTTGTGGCTTCATACAAAGTTTAGGATTGTTTGTTAAGGTTTCCCAACTTTTAACAATTAGCAGCTAAGGTAAAGAGAATAGTGTTCTTGTGTTTAACTCCAATGAGATACAGAGAAAGACACTTAAGTTGCAGTTTTGAATTTTATTTAAAGTAGATGTTTGTAACTGAGAGCTGGTTCCTTTGTGTTTTCTTATTTCTGGATGGCCCAGCTATTTGTGGAGTGGAGAATTGCTGGGGAGATTAAGCTGGAGTACTCTGAAGTTTTGTTTTCTAATTTAGAACATCAAATCTATTATTTCCTTCATTCAGAAAGAACCACCTCCCTTTAGTTTTTGGTACTGAGAGGTTTGCCTGCCTCTGAATGTTGCCGTGGAAGTCATTCATTCTGTTACAATCCAGAGATTGAATCCAATTGTTTTCTGAAAGTGAGCTGTCATGTTTTTTTCCTTCCATTCTCCCCTCTCTTTGTAGAGAGACCACAAAGTGTAGTGGTTAATAGTGCAGGCTCTTTGGTTAGTCTGCCTGTATTAAAACCTGGCTCCTATTCTTACTCTGTGGCTTGTAAATATGGATAGTAATAGGAGCAGTAGTAATAGTGAGAAGGTTTCTTGAGAGTTAAATGAATTGCTAAACCTAAAGTGCTTAGTGCTTATTAGCGCAGTGCCAACATTAAGCAAAATAGTGAAAGCTTAATAATGGTAATTATAGTTTTTATTATTTTTTTCTCTATAAGTAGTAATTCTATAGGGATACTCCCTGATTCTCCAGTGGTTGTTCCTCTGGCTTTCAGTGATCTTACCAAAAGGTCATTGAATTGACTTTTCAGGATAATGAGACTTAGTTACAGAGAAATCTGCTCTCAGCCCCTCTTCTACTTTGGTCCACTTTTTACAGTCTTTGGCAGGTATGTGTTTCATAGTTTGTAGTTTGGGATTGAAGGCCATCTTTTGTTCATTGGAAGATGCAATTATTTTCCTCTGGTTTTTATGTTTTATTGTTTTAATAGACTTTTAGGGGAGGAGAGTAAGGAACATATACCTTTTCACTGCCATCCTCCAATATTTTTTTGATTCTCAGAGGCATTTTTATTTTTTAAGAAACATTTAGTAATGTCTCTCTCTATGTAACTTACTTATGTTGCCACTTCTTGGTTTTTCAATTTTCAGTATGCTCTATTGACTTCCTACTGGTACCATGGAGGATACAGCTCTTTCACAATGTGCTCTTCCGCCCACGCATAAGCACATTTCCTGCACTCACCCCCAATATGTTTATATTAGCAGTAAATTATTTTTTGTTTACCTTATTATGATCTAAGTGTATGTAGTTGAACTCTGTAGAATACTGTGATTAGTTTTCCTTTTAGGCACAGTTTTTTGTTTTCCCTGGAATTAATTGAGTTATTTAAGTTTTTAAAGTTGGCAAAGTTTTATTAATTTATTGTAAATCTTCTCTCAGTACCTTCAGGTTCATCTCCTGAAAGAATTCTTTCCAAAAATCTTGGTTTCCTGGATTCGCTGTATTTTGTGACTTGCTTCTTTATTTTGGTAGAGTATATCCTCAAGTGGCTTTTTGAGAAGGGTGAATAGGAGATAAAAATTTTAAAGCCTGGCATATTTGGAAAAATGTCTTGATTCCCTTGTCACTGCATTGATATTTTGGCTTAGTAATAATGGGTTAGAAATCAGTTTCCTTTGGGATTTTTCTCCATTATTTCCTAGCTTCCAGTGTTATCTTTGATGATTGCTATTCTGAATTTCGATCCCTTCTATGAAATCTACTTTTAAGTTTGCCGAATCCCTGCCCCTGATACTGAGAGAGCCTTTTGCCTCTGAAACTGCAGATAAACTACGCCTCTCTTGTCTTCGTGGGTCTTCCAAAAGTCTGCCTCCCATTTGGTAATGATGGTATTAGTCATTTGTAAGTTATCATGTTCACTCTGCATTGAAGATATGTTGCAAAGATGAAACAGTAATTTTCAAAGAAGTGGTATGTACAGGTCAGCAGTTTCTCAGAAAAAAAAATGAGAAGACCAAAATTTTAATTTAGAGTAAGGAGAACCAACTCAGATGCAAAAGGAACAAGAGCATTTTTTCCGACTTATCTTAGGATCTTTAGTGGTTTAATTGGTCCATTATCCATGTGCTTACTGAGCAGCTGCTGTAAACACCATGAATGGTATAAAGAGTATAAGGGCCTGGTCTCTTTCTTTAAGACAGCGGCCCTCAAATCTACCTGCACATTAAATCATGATGCCCTCAGCCTCACCCCAGGCCAACTGACTAAAAATATGTGCGTGTGGATCCTGGACATCTGCATTAAAAAAAAAAAAACCCTTGCCCTGACCAGTGTGGCTCAGTTGGTTGAGTGCCGTCCAACAAAGCAGCATGTCGCTGGTTTGATTCTTGGTCAGGGCACATGCCTGGGTTGTATGTTTGGTCCCCAGGAAGGGTGCATATGAGAGGCAACTGATCCATATTTCTCTCTCACATCCATGTTTCTCTTCCTCTTTCTCCCTTCCTTTCCCTCTCTCTAAAATAAATGAATGAATGAGCAACTAAAATCTCCTTACGTGATTCTAATGTGTACTTAAGGTTGAGAACTATTTATTTAGGAGCTTAAAATCTAGGCAAAAGTTAAAATATGTACATTAATCGCTATAAAATTGGAAGATTATGGCAAGCTCTGTGATGAGTGATACAAAGATCATGGGTACATGAATTAGAAGGTTTTTAATGAGTTGGAGTCATCAGGAAAGACCTCGTCAAGGAGGTAAATTTTGAGCTAGTGGAGCTTTCATAGGAGCGAGGGGACTTTCTAGGCCAGGGATTGAATGCCAAGTATTTTGACTGGGTGTGGAATATTTGGGGAATAGTGGAAGTAAAGATTTGATATTAGGTTGCAGCCAGATTCGAGACAATCTCCAGTGTCAACCTAAGGAGTTTTGACTTTATCTTGCAGGAGGTAGGGAGTCTTTGAGGAGACACTGACTGAGGATTTCTGAGGAGTGAAATGACATGATGAAAGTGGCGATTTGAAGAGTGATACAGTGGGAAGTGAGGGTATGGAGTTCGAGTACATGGGCCTGGGGAAAGAAGACTAGTTGGAAGGTCCCTCTTATGGTCCAGATTGTAATGCTCTGAGCTAGGAAAAGAGCAGCGTTATTAAAAAAATAATGGTAAACCTTTGTGTAATGTTTTCAAAGTACGTTCTTTTCCACCTCTCATTAAACCTCACAGTAGCTTCGTGGTATTAACTTCCGTATTTATAAAGGAAGGAACTGGCATACAGAGGTTAAACTGCTATAAAGTAATCATGTGGAAAATGGAAGGGCCTGATTGGATGAAGCTCAGTACCAGGGAGCTGCAGGGGTGCTTCCGAGGCACTGCGTTGGGTGTGAGGGTGGTGGAATCCCTCAGTGGCTAAATCAGTGTCAAGTCTCGGGCTCCGGTTTCAGGTAACCCCGATGTTCTTCACATGATTTCCTTGCCTTTATGGTTTGTTATGCAATGACTTCTTATAAAGGTGTGGGGAAGGAAGGGAAGAAATAGCTGTCATTCATTCACCTTTTCTCAAATAAGAACCTTCAGCCCTTTTCTGAGTATCTTTGGGTGTTCCGATAGTTAAATTCTGTTGAATGTTAGAATGCTTACTCTAGGTGTGGATAGTCTGGATATGGAGCCTCAAATGTGGGCTGAATATATCAGCTATAACTGGGTTTCCTTTTCTCGTGGTTGAGAAGGGAACTTTGAATGTGGAGTGGACATCAGAGAACATGCTCGTGGCTCTCATGGTTAGCATGTTTGATCCAGATCGTATCCTTGTCAGAGCTGGAGATTGGATCACATCCAGCACTGTGTAACCTATTTTGTTCACACGTTCACCGTGTCTGTGCGCTTGTCCATTTTGTGTACTAAGATCCTGAGGCAATTAAATTGCCAGCTTCAACCAGCCATGCATGTGATGAAATGTACTTTTGCATCTGAGATATTTGCTTCCTTGCAATCAGACAGCAGAAGAGTGTGCCAGAGGCTAAGGGATGTTGGGGAGGTACAAAAGAGTGAATCATCATCATGGCAAACCTTCATTAGATTTTCCTGTAAAATGCTAAGGTATGGGTGAACAGAATGAGACTAGGGACGGAGAGGAGGTTAAGCTTTTGTGCCTTGGGCATTCTCAATCCAGATGCATGGAGTAACATTGATTGGCTCCAGCTGTGGTAAGGATAAAGTTGTAATTTGAAATGATGACATCTTTGGAAAATTAAAATGTCATATTTTATTCCAACTGTGTATTTTCTCACTTTAGAATCCTGGGACCTTCAATGGCCGGAGAAGGAGTGATCAGAAGACCGAGATGAATTTTAACACTATTCTAGAAGAGATTCTTATTAAAAGATCACAGCAGAAAAAGAAGACATCGCCCTTAAACTACAAAGAGAGACTTTTTGTGCTAACGAAGTCCATGTTAACCTATTATGAGGGTCGAGCAGAGGTAGGAGACAATCAATATTTACTTCGCTGCTTCCTGTGTTGATGCCACTTTTTAACACTGGTCCCTACCCCCAGTTTTATGGAATAAACTTTAGGTTGAGGAATTTAATAATGAAGTTAAGGTAATAATATGTTATCATTTGGATTTGAAAGATAAAGTTTAGGATATTGATTGAAATTATTCACAAGTCCATTAATTATGAGTTTAGTATGTATGGGTATACATTTTATATCAGCCTAATAAATTAATCTGTGAACACAAATTTGATCCTTATAGACTTTGTGTACATGGTTCTTTCCCATAAATTACTGTATTATACAGGGTCAGCCACAAATAACACCCCTTTTTTATTACAAAATCTTTTATTACAACATCATAAGCATGTAATTCTGTAACATAACAGTATCACATTGAAGCATACCATATGGCATTTTAGGTGAAATGTTCAAATTAAAACTATAAATTATTACACGCATATTATTACTCTACCAACCACACTCAAGAATGTGTTACTTCTGTCAGACCCTGTATGTTAAAGTCTTCCTTAAGACATAGAAACTGTGTCTATATCCATTAATCATAAAGTGAGACCGACATCTATGCTCTCCTGGTTCCCTGGACCCAGGCCCCTTCAATGTGATGGCAATAAACTTTTATTGAGGCTGTTCCTGTGAAGTACAGTTTATTGTGCTTTTGGAAGTATGCTGAGAAATTGTGTTCTGGATGATGAGAAATTCAATCAAGCCATATGTTCCAATTGGCTGATATTGGAAAACCTGTGTTTCAGTTTCTGCTCTGGGCCATTCTATGGTTTGGCCTCCTTGTTCTTATTATTCTCAATTAGCTCATGTTTCTGCACATTATAGGAAACTGGTAATTGATCTTCCCGGCAATTTATGTTGTTTGATCTTACTCATGATAACACCGACCAGAGGGTTTCACAAGTGACCTTGCCTTCTGGTCAGGAAACTCAATAGCGCGCAGGTCAGGTCATCTGACATTCCAGTGGAGGCTCTGTGTGGTGTTGAGGTGGAATCCAGGGAGGAGCAGGGCGGGGATTCATTGGGGAAAAGACCTATTCGTTAACGGTGAGAACACAAAGAGTAGAGCGATTTCTCTATGTTGAGGTGTTGGATAAAACATTTGCAAGTGGTAAGTAAATCTGCAAGTTGCGTTAGCTAAGAAATCAGGCCCTTTTTATAATTGGACTTCGGTGCTTCTAATTTGGTTGGCATGTTGTTTCTAATACTGCTCCAGTATGGAAACTGGCAAATACGGAGGTTGGCAGAAGTAACGCCTGCTTGAGTGTGGTTGGTAGGGTAATAATATGGTAGGGTAATAATAACTTACAGTTTTAATTTGAACATTTCACCTCAAATGTCATATAGTGTCCTTGAATGTGATATTGTTTTGTTACCGAATTACATGCTTATGACCCTGTAATAAAAGAGTTTGTAATAAAAAGGGGGCGTTATTTGTGCCAGACCCTGTATTTTCTAAGTCAAGGAGTAGGGAGACCAGATGTGTCAGGGAGCCCACAGAGCACCTCCAGGTTTGGTGATTTACTGGAACTCATGGGACTCAGCATATGGTTGTATTCACAGCTACAGTTTATTATGGTGAAAGGAGACAAAGGAAAACAGCAAAAGGAAAAAGGTGAACGGGCAAGTCTGGAGGAAACCAGGCACAGGCTTGCAAGAGTCCTTTCTCAGTGGGGTCACAAAGGGTCTGCATAATTCCTCTAACGTTGAATTGTGACAATGGTGAAGTGTTGTCTACCAGGAAAGCTCATTAGAGATTCAGTGCCCAGGGTTTTCACTGGAGGCTGATCAGATAGACACCCTCTGCCTAGAATGCACCAAAATCCAGGGTCAGAAGGCAAGCAAGTGTTCAGCTTAAACCATGTTGTTTGTACAGTTTAACCTCAGTGCATTCTTCTTATCGGTGCTAGGAACGGCAGGAATTTGCTAGGAATGGTATTAGCAAAGTCCACATTCAAGCCATGGGCCCACCTTGTAAGCATGTCTTTCCTAAGATAGTAGTCTCATAGACCTGCTATTTTAACACTTTTTTGCAAATCAGTAGTAATAATGATACAAATTTTTGACTACCAAATGTATGCCAGGCACTGTGCTAAGTACTTTACGTGCATTATTATTTCCCCTCAAAACAATACTAAATTGTCTTATTAGTAGCTCCATTTCAAAAATGGGTGAGACAGAAAGGTCAAAAACTTGCCCAAGGTCATACATCTAATTAATTACAAGGCTGGTTTCTTCAAAGCCTAGCTTTGAAACCACCTTGATTCTCTGGGGGACATTAGCGGGGAAAATCTATTAAATCTTTCGCAATACAGATGGAGTTTTATTTTAAAACAAGGATTTTTTAATTACTTTTAGTTATGAATTTTTTGAATTTTTTATATGGTAGAAGGAAATTAACACTAGACAGGATTGTTGTGGTGGCTCCTGCTACTATCTACTTGGACACTCTAGAACAGTGTTCTTCAATCTCTACATATATTTTCAGAATTACTTTTATATACATTTTCTATCTCTTTACACTCTTAACTCCTCCTTTGTCATCACTGTTTCAACCCCAGCACATACCTGATATACTACCAAGTTCCATGAATTCTCCTTCTCTTTGTTAAAACTTTATTGCTACTCCTAGCTGCATTCTTTTAGGTGGAGTACCGCTCTACCTGATTCTGCTCTTGAATCTTTATCTTTCATCTGCAGAGTCTTCAGAGAGATGTTGAAACCTGTAGCATTGTATCTTCCCTAGGATCAAGTTAAAACTCCTTAGCTTGGAATGCAAAATGCGTGATGCAATTTCCTTACCTCGTGTCTTTACTAATGTTGTTCAGTCTACTTGGAGTGATATCCTTCTCTGCCTTCCTGCCAGGATCGATCTCTCTATCCAGTGTCTCTTTCAACCGTCACAAATTTATTGAGTGCCTGGCAAACACTCATCTTTTCAGACTTAGCTCAGTCCCTACCTTCTCTGAAGCCTTTCCTGTATCTTCCCCACCAAAAGTAGAACCCCAGCCCGCTTCAGCATGTTGTGCCCAGTACATACTTTTATCGTGGCAGGTTGGTTATCTGACTTTATTTACATGCCTGTGTCCCCCATTGAACTTTCAGTTTTTTGAGGGCAGGGTTCATAGCTTATCCATCTTTTCACTTCTGAGGGCCCAGTGCCAAATGGGTACTCAGTTGGATGGCTGGCTGGCTGGCAGGAAGGGCAGATGGGGAGACCATGACCTTAGAAGCCAGCAGGGCAGGTTTATCCTAAACATACATCATGAACCATGACAACCGTGCCACACAGTGAATAAGTGTGAGTCAGAATTTAAACCTTGCTAGTCTTTCTTTAAGTTCAGTGTTTTTCCCATAATGCCGCAGGTGCCTACCTTACAATTTTATTCCAGTTGTACTGAAATAGAACATTCTTGATAATGAGATGCTCAAAATTTTAACCTTTTACCCCAGTTATATGGTTGGTTGGTTGGGTGATTGAGGCAGGATGGTTGAGGCACAGTTACAAGTGTGATGTGGTATTAGTCTCTTAAACATCCTGGGCAAACTCTCATGTTTCTGTGGAGTCTTCCAGGTCATAAAAGGTTGTTTTCTTGATCAGGCCTGGGAGCCTGGAGACTTTTCGTGTCAGGGATAAGAGCCTGACAAGGTTCTGAGACGATCTGATGTTTCTCTCTTAGTTGTATCCTTATACTAGGGGGACCTCCCAGTGAGAAGCAGAGGTTTACAGCTAATCCCTACCTGAAGATTGGTATCTTTCAGCACTTCCTATGGTTCTGGAGAGTGGGTGCGGGGTGGAAAAAATTTCTTTTATTTGCTCCAGGGCAGTTGGAAGCATTTGCATCGGACCTTATACATTACCAGATAGTTCACTGTCCTGTAAATAGTGAGACCATTCTAAATACTCAGTGGATACAGTACAGCTGTTATTGTACAAGGGAATTATGTTGGCTGTGAAAATTCTCAACTACATTATCCCATAGGCCGTTGAGTTTTCTGGTTTCTGAAATAAGGTAGTATTGAGTTCCTCTCTGGTGTCTCAATTTCCTTTCTTATGTCTCTTGTTCTGATTCATATCTGCCTTCTTAATATACTGTCCTGGATATGAACTTCCTCATTATTAATCATTTAAAAGGGCTAAGATGCAGTTCTGAAGTCCTAGGGTCTGATTTATTCTCTTAATTTGCCAAATTATCCATTTTCATTTAATAGCATTTTCTGTTTCCACCACCTCCTCACCCTGGGGAAGCAGAAATACCATTCATTCTATCCACACCCCTAAAAAAATGTTTTTATAACTTTGTATTTTGCTGTAGTTTCGAACTTCAAAAAGTTGTAAGAATAGTACAAGGAACTTTCAAATAACCTTGACTTGGATTTAGGCAATAATTGAGGCAATTTGCCTATGGTATTGTCCCATTTGCTCTATCATTCTCTTTGTATCTGTCTTTCCCTTTATATGCATGTCATTTTCTGAACAATTTGAGGGTAAGTTGTAGACATTGCCCCTTTTATCACTAAATACATCATTTTGTATTGTCTAAGACCAAGATCATTCTCTTTTATAACCACAGGACAATGATCAGAATCAAGACTTGTAACGCTGATCATTATTATTGAATCTATAGTCTTCAAATTCCATTCATCTTTCTGCTGGCATCTTCATAGCTACTTCTCAGCCTCCTCCTCTTGCCAAATTCAGAATCTCATCCCTGATCATGCATTGCATTTAGTTGGTCAAGTCATAAAGATGTTACTAATCAATGATGAGAGAAAGAGAAATATAAGGAAGAAATGCTGTCTTTTGTTACATACTATAAAATGCCAACTATGTCAGGAATACTGAGTGATTGTCTGTGAGAGTCCACAAACATGAAATCAGGTTTAAAAATTATTATTGTGTGTTCTCCTCCTCTCGTTCTCATGGCCATCATTCGGATGGCCGTGATTCCCCACCAA